CTGTTGGTTTTGGAAACCACTCCACTCAGGATGAATGCAGTCAAGGATATCGTCCTGTCACGTTGCTGGATTACCCTGCGCTTATGTTGTCTGCAAGTACGATGAGATGAGAGCTGGTCACTGGAGCAAAGAAAGCTGGCAAAGTGAAGAGTGGCGTTTTGTGTGTATAGTCATAGGATTTGAGTATATGGGAAGCCTTGAGGTTGGTCCTATACGAGAAAAAAATGTTTCAAAGTTCGCATTTATCGTGACTGTATGGACTGAATGAGTGAAGCAGACAGATAAGAGTTCACCAGACCTTTTGCCAACCCAGCCAAATTTTCACCTTGAATCTGAGCCACCATAAAAGTTTAAGGGATATATTCTTCCACTAAAATACTCATTATCCTCTTCTGAACCTTTTAACCTTCTCAGTGCTGCTTTCTCCAAAGGCCAGTGAATGATTTTTCATACCAGAGTCAAGGAAATTTCTGTATTCCTTTCAGCGTGTACTAACAAACACCTTAAAAATTCACTATTAATTTAAATGTCAGGTTTTAACGCTTTAAAAGTTGTTGTATTGTTGTAAGCATACAGAGAATTCTGAAAATCTTAATTTGAAGTACGTGTTTATATGTTCTACTTTTAGGATAACTTTTCTCGGTTCTGCAGCTTAAACCCTCAGAATTTACTGTGACAAAGGCTGTAGTTCTACAGCCTGCTTAAACTGATCTACAATCATGCTTCTGCAAGGCTGGTCTCACTGCTGCTCCCGGGTGCCTGTTTCTGCCCTCTCTGTGTATCAGCATTAGCAAACATGCAGCCACGTGGCTAGTCAATGACCTGTGTAAAAAAAATGGAAGTTTTATTTGTAGGTTAGTTTTCTGGGGTTAGTTGTTGCCCAGCTGCATTATAATTAATGTTGACACCAGGAAGGCAAAAGTAGCATGTACGTAGGACCAGAGTAAGCCAGAAATATGACCTTTAGATGAGAATTACTTGGCATTGAGACGACTGACACAATAATGTTGACCTTAGATGTTTCAGACCTTCTATGTGTTTCTTCTTTCAAAAGCATCTTTGGGTGTCTCTGGCTGTTTAAACAACTTAAGAATGTTGGTTTGGTTTGTTTGGGGTTTTTTGTTTGGGTTTTTTTGGTTTGGTTTGGTGGGGGGTTTTTTGTTTGGTTTTTTTTTTTTTAAATGTATAATGCATTCCTGGTCCCATCTTTTTTTCTACAGCATTTCATGAAGTTTCAGTTTACCCCAAGAAAGAGCTTCCCTTCTTCATCCTCTTCACTGCTGGACTATGTTCTTTCACAGCCATGCTAGCCCTCCTGACACATCAGTTCCCAGAGCTTATGGGGGTCTTCGCAAAAGCTGTGAGTATTTTCTGCTGCTGCTCTCTTCTGATAAATAAAGACACAGATGCAGGAAGAGCTGAGCTAAATATTGCTGGTATTAAATATCTGCGTATTCAGTAGCATAAATAAAACATCAAGAGATGTCTGAGCATGGGGACATTTGAACAACTGTTAAGTGAGCTAATCAGTAAAACACACTACTGGCTGTCTTCTCTTTTGTTAGGCTAGATCTCTTGTGGTTTTGCCAAAAAAGGCTTGGTGGGAGAAGGGAATATCTGTGTTTTCATATATAATCCAATAAAATAAACTAATAATGGTTCGCAGACCCCTCTATTTTGTGTAGAGCCATAATGACTGTGCCGTGCTTTCCAGTGCAATAGAAACTATTGGGATGAGCAGACAGAGAGTGTACTGTTAACCAGGGCAAATTTCTGAGTTCCTTCCCCAAACTGCCGTGAAGGAAATAGTCTCAATATTTCCCTCATAACTTATCTTAACTACATCCAGGGAACTCTCTGCTAATTCTGCTTTTTTAATCCACCAAGGATTAATAAATTTTGGAGGGCAAGGGGGAAGGGCCACGAATTATGCTAAAACACGCTTTTTTCTTTGCACAACCAAAAACATCACTGCTCCAGTGTGCTAGGATATGAAAAATCCACTTACAGAAAAATTCTAGGATAATAAAAAAGCTGTCTCCTTCTTCAAGAAATACTGAATATCCTGTGTTATAATATATAAATATAAATAATATAATATAAATATATTTTCTCAAATATATTTGTATCTCTTATAGGTCTTGTGTTTCCAAAATAGCCTCCTGGGCTTGTTCTTAATGTCTTTGGTGCTTTTGATCTGGGGGGCATAGGGGTTGGGGTAGAGGAGGCAAGGCTTGAAAGGCTTTGGCAAATTCCAGACTGTAAGTACTTTCTCAAACTCCTTTGCAAATGGTGAGAGACTCCCTGTGCAGGTGACCAACTCTAGAGATCTGGTACAGCAACAGTTCTCTCATCAAGAATTTTCTTTCATTAGCTCTAGAAGGCAGAAAATGAGATTAGCTGTAGCAAAAGATACCACTTCTATCAGCAAAAAGTGCTGAAACGTACCTGAAATATTATTACTTTCTCTTCTTTCTTGAGTGTATACATAGGCATTTGGTTGACAATAGGTGTGTAACTCAGGCATGTGATCTTAAACTTCTTTGTAGAGCTTTTTTTGTGTTTTTTTTCTTTAAGTCGTTGAAATGCATGATCCTTGTTTGGGGGCTTTTTCAATGTAATCGGAAGTTTTCTGATACTGTCACAGTTAATGACCCCAAATCTGTCCCTGTTTGTTAGCCTTGTTCCTGTGCTTGTCAGCCTTGTATCCTGAGCAAAGAATATGTCTCAAGTGGGCAGCATGGTGAGGTTCTGTACTTAGTGCTCCTGCTACAGGCAGTGAGCTACTGGAATTGGAAAGAACTGGTAGCGTGTTTGCATGGGCTTAACTCACCTGGCTTTGGTTGCTGAGTGCAATGAAACAGAGAGAGCAGAAGGGACAGTGTGTTAGTAGTTGTTTCTCTGTGGTTTGGAGCTTGCAGGTTCTGAAGCCCTTTGGGGAGCAGAGTCAGACCAGAAGGATCTGTTTCCCTGATGTGTAAGTGCAGCTGCCACTGACGTTAATAGAACAGATACCCCAAGACTCTGTATGTGGTTATTAAGTTCTGCGTATCGGAGCAGGTAAAGCTCCTAGTTAGTAAAATAAGCAGAGACGAATAGAATTGAAAGGTGGGCTGCATTACGTGCATAAAGTTGGCAAGATTACTCAAGACCTCTGAACCTGTATGGATGCAGCTGGTGTGTCAGTTAACATGTATCGTGACTTGTTTTAGCTATATCTTAATCTTCATAAACCACCGCATGTAGCAGCTGAGTTTTTGTTGTACATGGGAAGGGTAGAATTTAAGCCTGTGACATTCATTTAGTAGCTTATAGAAGGGTTTTGATTCAGAAGGCTCATTTTGTTGTCTCCTCTGGGAAAAGTAGCCCAGGTATATGAGATATTGAAGAAAATCATGGCAGACATCTCTTTGAAATGCAGCTGTGTCAGAACAGAATAGAAGAGGTTGGCCAGCCCTGGCTCTTCCCTTTCAGTTTTAGGGAAGATTGTTTCATGAATAACTAATTTCATAAATAGCTAAAAGATGAATGTGCCGAGTGTTGCTGTGGTTATGTGCATTGAATTACCTATTCCTGTATGGTTGGTACTCATTGTGATGTGGTACATTGTGACACGGTGCACATATGCTTTAATTTTAATGGGTCAAAATTACTCCTTCTTTTACGCCTGCCAATCCCAAAAGCATTGCACAGATGTAATATCGCCATAGTGGCCCAGGCTTATGTTACTGCAAATTGATATTTACCATATTTCACAAAAACTGAATAGGTTAGCGTGATTGGATTGGGTGCTGCAAACTGGCTTTGACCTGTCGTCCAGGCAGCATCTTCTTGCACGTTTTCCGTACCCCATTAACCCAGACACTGGGTTCTTCAAGGCAGAAAAAGCCCTTGAAATGCTGAGGACCTCTTCCACATGTGAGACTGCCAAAGGTGGCCTGTGCCAGTCCCTTAGGGCAGCGCACGCTCCCCCGCTGGATGCAGAAGTCAAAGGTATTTTAAAGCTGCTTTCCTCTTCTGGGAGGTTCAACGTAGGATGGAATTCACCAGGCTCCATCAGTGCACCCAGGTTTTAGAGCCCGAACCTGCTCTGAACGCTGCCTGCCAGTTCAGCAGCAAGTTTAGATATTCCCAGCTGCATCCAGCCAATTCTGTAATGTTGTACCTGGAAGTAAGCTTGATTCTTCCCATAAGGAAATTGAAAGAATCCACTTCTTTGATTATTTTGTCGGACTGAATATAAGTAACCTTAAAATGGCAGTAGATCTTAGCATTTTCACTTGGTTAGGGAGAAGCATGTTCATAGCTTGTGGTTTTAATTTTTGCTAGGCTTTCTAACAAAAGGCTTTTGGAGGTGACTAAAGATATGAATACAAGCAGAACAAATTTCTGATTGCATGGCTTGGATAAAATGGTCAGCACGGTGTTGGTAGTATTTAATTTCTCTCATTGTCATGCAGAAATATAACAATATCTGGGCAATTGCTAAAAATATGTAAGGGTAGGTCCTTTCATAATATAGTAGCAATAAGAACGTATCTTTCAGAAAACTGAGAGTTTTATTAACAAGGGGGTCACTATATAATTGGAGTCAACAGTTCTGTCTAAAAGCGTAGTACCTAGTTAATTTTTTTAAAATGAGGGAAACTTCAGAAAGACTAATTTTTCTCTGATTTGATTCCTTTGTTTGCCTGAGATCGCTGATATAATCTGTTCCAATTTTTCCTGTATGATGGATGAGACCTCAGTTCGGCAAGCAGGTTTGCCCAGGGAGATATTTCATCTACTTGGTCCTCTACAGATGCTGAGGCAGGGAACATGTAGGTACGATCACAGGGATGGAGCGATAGTCAGTTCCTCCATGCAAACACCAACTACACAGTGGAAAAGCTTGAAAAGATACTTTTGCATATCTGTTTTAATCAAGTAGTGCTATTCAGAAGGTGCTCCCAGAAAGCTGCTTTCTGCCAGCTTTGAAATAGCGAGGCTGCCAGTTTTCTTTTAAAATAGAAAATAATAGCAAACTTTTTACAGGTCTCCCATCACCAGTTCTGCCACCCTGAATTCTTACTCTACTGCTGGTGCTGTTTTTTCTGTTCCATGTGGAAAAAAACAGTCAGTGTCAAAAGGAAAGGTAAAAAAATAAAAATAAAAAACCACAAACATATCATGCAGACTAAGCCCTCCTGAGTGCTACCATGTGACAGACAAGCTGGATAGGCAACTGCCAGTGGTGTCTGAGGACAGGAGCAGCAGGAGGTTTCCAAGGGCCAGATCGCCCCGGCACAGATGTTGTTTACATGGGCTTGTACAAGAGAGTAGGTGGCATCCTGAACCTCTTGCTGTCAGCAAAGGTTTTGCTTGGACTTCAGTGAAGCCAGGCTTTGGTATCCATGAATGTAAATGTATTTTGTAGACCAACTAATTTTCCAGGTGGAGAAAAACTTGGCTCGTTTTAAGCTACAGATACTTTGCTGAGTTTTTTATAGGATACAATCAACTACTTCAGCAACAAAATTCCTACGAACTGGAATAAAACTTACTGTCAGGCAAATTATTATTGTGTCATTGATTTAACAAGCGTGTAATTTGCACTGGTTACAAAGCTGAGTTTCATCCAAGTCGATGTGATGGTGCAAGCCTACCACATAGATCAAGTGCTACTCAAAGAGCAGAAAATATCCTCTAGTGAGCCTTTTGCATTTGGCAAAATTAAAGGGACATATTTATTTAAACGGTTCCCAGCTTAACCAGAGGGAATGCTTCTACTTGGCCCAAGCCACTTGAAATAGTAATAGCAAACTCTAAGATTAGGTAAGTCAGCGTTACATTAATTCAGCTGCGATTCGTGTTACACAGCTTGACCTTTAGCCCTACAACTGAAGTACTCCGCTCAGCTTCAGTTAGAAGTCTTTTCTTCGGCCTGCGCTTACGACAGAATCTCATTACCAGTGATGGTGTCAGCAGGTTTTCCCATGATGCACAGGTTGTCCATGATGTAGTGTCTGTATTGTATACAAACATGTCTAAGAGGAAGAAAAGAATTTGAATGCTTACTATTGCCTTTAAAATGCATAAGCATCATAAACAACATACATTTTTACAGTTAAACTCTGCACAGAGCCCATTTTGGTAAGCAGTGAAACTGTTTGCAGGTATTTTCTTGCTTGATCCCATGAAATGGTTATAATCTCTGGCTGTTGGATATTGAAATTTTGAAACGTTTTAAATACATTTGCCACATATAGCTGTGTTTCAGCAGCACACAGACCTGTAACAATTTTTGAAATTGTATTTTTCATACTTAACTTTAGACACTGAAGAGCCTAAGTTAGAGACCAAGGACATGTCTGGATTAAGTGGTGAGATATTGTTTGTTCTGTGGCTCCAAAGGCAAGCGACACATCGCAGTCCACGTCTGTACCTCTAACCTCTCCTCCCTTCAAAGGCGGGACGGCCCGTCCTCGCTGGCTGCTGGAGCTGTCCCCAGACTCTGCCGGGGCTTTGTTGAGGAGAGACGAACTGGCACGGGCCAGGACTGTGTCAGGAGCTGTGCTAGCCGTTCAGGAGCGTGGCTGGGGCAGGCCAGCACCCCGCACTGTGCCGCAGTCCTCCTTGCTTCACGGGAGAAGACAGACCCTAGCCGCCCCGGCTCCCTCCGCAGCTGGGGGTGGAGAGGGAAGAGACCATTTCAGAGGGCGGTTCTGGGCCTGGGATGCATAGAATTACTCTCTGGAAGTGCTTAGTTCTCTTCAGTGACTACAGGGGGACCAGACCCCCGCGTCTGCATTCCTTAAGTGCCTAAAGAGACATGGGACAAATTCAGAACATGAAAAGGGATGTAAGTGTGTTTATGTATAAAGTCTGATGTCTCTTTTGTCACGAGAGAGAGTTCTTCTAGGGTAAAAAGAGAACACATCCAGCACCAGATTTGCTTTAATACTGACCTGCCAAGCAGACTTAATATACACATCAGTGCAGTAAGCGGAGTTTATCTGTTTTGTGCTGACTGCAGAGCATTAACTGAAACACAAACCTCTCGCGGCTCTTTGCCGATCGGTTCCAAACAGAACTATTTCTTCTTAGCGAAGTCGCATTAGCCTAAATGGTTTGAAGCCATGGGGTTTGCAGTTGAGGTGGCTGACTTTGCATATTATTGTACTCTCCCATACACGTATAGGGCCCCAACATAGCTGTATGTAATGTGTATGGTGGAATTGCAATTAAGGCCAAGCACAGTTAATATGTATTTCCCAGCATTTTAGGAGTGCTTTGAATATTTGAGTTCTGAGATGTGTAGCTGGCAGTGTTTTTTTTTCCTGCGATCAAATAGTCTCTATTCGCATAATTTTTGTCACATATGCCTGTCCTGACATTACTATATTGAAACCTCTTTCAACATTGCCGACTGTGTTCTGTAATAGAGGGAGGAGGTTAAGACAAATTCCAATTAGTGATGTCTCAGTGTATATAGCAGATCTATAGATAACCCAGAACCATTTTAAACCTGAATCTAAAGACATGCTTTTTGTCTCTGAGAGGTGGTCTGGCAGATTCTGCCGTGATGAAAAAGCCTCTTTTCCCCTTCAGTCAGTTTTGGTTTGAGCTTTCAGTGGCCTCAGTGTGAGCCTGAATCTAGGATGTGAGACGTGTGAAAACTTCTGTAGTTCATCACTCTGATCTTCATAAAAATGAGGCCCTTGCCTTTTTTTACTGCAAAATCCAGAAATCTGTATATAGGCAAGGCTCAGAATCTGGCAGAAAGTCTTTATACGTGAAGTATATAACTTTTGTCATGCTGGAGGATTTTACAGAGAACACAGCAAGAGTTTCTTGTCATATTGGACCGCTTTCTCCTGAGGTGTATTGTCTCCTGGATTTTGATCTGAATGTATTTCTGGTTTCTTTGCAGTTTCTCAGCACCCTCTTTGCCCCTTTAAATTTTGTGATGGAAAAAGTAGAAAGTATCCTGCCCTCCAGCCTGTGGCACCAGCTGACGAGGATCTGAGGGAGCACGCCCGCTGACTGACTGCCATGACATCTTCTGCGCCAACTTTTTGTTGACCACAAGAAAGCATGATAAAAAAGGGAAGCAGTTCTAAGACTTAAAAACTCTTCATGGATTGTCTGTTCTCATATAAAAACTGTTTTGTTGTACAAAATACATTGATGTTAGGTTCTATTATATTTTGCCTTCAGAAAAGAAAAACTTAAAAATAAACTTTTTGTGTATTGCAGCATCGCTGTCTTTTGGCTGCTTCTTCAAAGCTCAGATTGTACTTTGTGTTCTTAAACGTGTGGCGTATCTGCTTCACCACAGCTAGGGCTTGGCTTTCCGTTCAGTTAATGAAAAACACTAACAACTTTACAATTAAGCAACGGTACCACTGCCTTTTCTTACAGAGTTCAGTTAGGGTGGAGCCCTCACCACTACAGACAGTCTAGACAAGGCTTCTAGACAGTTAAAGCTCTTGTTTAAAGCAGCTTTAGGCTCTCCAGGCCGTTTGGATGGCACCTTGGCGTTCTGATTCCCATCCCTGCGCAGAGGTCAGTTATATCCTCATGTGAATTTTCAAAAAGGCCATGTACTTGACAGATTTTCCTCACACCGCTGTTATTTCAAGTGCCTCCAGAAGCTCCATGCGTTGTTCTCTGCCTACAGAACAGAGCGTAAGTAATGGCAGAGCACTGAAGACAAATTTACCTGTCGTGAGTGATCATTACGTTCACGCTCTTATGTATTTCTTGCTGAGTTCTTATTGCATTACTAGTATTTTTCAAGTATGAAAAAGCAGATACTTTTTCCTGTACAGGTTAAACATCAGCTTTACAAACTGTTGCTTGAGACCAGAAGCTCATTAGCAAAACTGGTGTTGGTTCATGCACAATTAATAGAGAGGCTGGTGTTTCATCATTAGTGCTTACCTCAGGAAATCCTACCCTTGTGCTGTGAGCTGTTCAGACAAAGTATTCATTTGTAACTAACTTAGCTGCTGTAGATGGAAACTTCCCGCAGACGCCTCTGCTAATGCACAAGGCCAGCTCTAAGATCAAGAATTTGATCTGGAAGTTGCGAAGCAAGTAGTCCTGGCTGTCAAGAATTGAAAGTGCATCCTTACAAATGCCTCAGGGATGAGATTTTTTTTTTTCAACTCCTCTCCCAGATAAGGAAGCATAAACCCACCGCAGCAGATCAAAAAGGCCACGTTGCCAGTTCATCTGTGCTGTTCTTCTAAAAATGCTGAGCAGCTTGAGGGACGGTGATCACCAGCAGATAAGTTTGTTTAGCAATGAGGAAATGACTGAGCAAAGACAAAACTCCCATTATTGGAATTGGTGTAAAAAGAAAATGTTTCTTAACAGCAGGAGATGCATTGCATTATTTTTTTGCCCTCTTGATCACAGATACGCTAATCTTCGTAGAAGAAAGATTTTTGTCCAAGTGAGCAATGGTACTGCATTAAAGCAAACACTGCTGTGCTGTGAGGAAAAAAGGCAGCCTCACACCAGGAGAAATCAGCTGTAAGAAAGAGACCTGAAGGGAGGATGTAGAAGAGCAGAGAGCCCATGGCTAAATGGCAAAACCGGTGAGGTGTGTTGCTGTGGGGGTTTCCATACAGGTTTTTCATCTCCGGCCATTATTCCTGCAAAACAATTCACTGTAATGTTGAAATTAGTATGGCTTACATTTAATGTGGGATGTGGCATAAGATGAGAGGTAGTGGGTTGCTAGCGGACAGCATGTGGAAGTGTGAAATGGGCCAGTATTTGTGTTCTCGGCTTTGCCTCCGAATTGCTAGAAGAGCCACAGAGAGCACCTTTACAGCGGGTGCTCCTGTGTATCTCCAGCTGTAAAACTAGGGATCATCGTACCATTTGCCTCACAGCAGCGCTGTCGGAGTTATTTGAGGTCGGTGAAAATCAGAAGGATCAGCTCTTGGTGTCCTGTGCTGCTTTGCGTCGCTTATTCCCAGCCACCTCAAAAACCTTTCAAAGATCATTTATATATATCCTACATTTCAAAAGAACAAATTGCTGTGATTAACAGTCCTAATATATAAATGTGTTGGCCTATCAGTGTGTACCTAGCTATATACAAATGTCCATGTTTGTCAGCAACCAAGGTAGTACTTTGGCCTTCTGTTAGAAGAAGAGATAATGATGTGAATTATGATCAGCGTGGGAATTACTGTCTGTAATAATCTGATAAAAAGGAACGCTTAACTCCTGGAAGAATCAGATCCTTCCCTTGAACTATGGGGAACGTTTAGGAACTCAAAAATATCTTTATGCAATTCTGTTTCTACTGTTTCTAGTATCCATCTCCCTTATACGCAGCAATGAGCCATGGCTTTTATCTAGAAAATATCTCTTTAGCTTTAATTATAATTCTAGGCACCTGGGAGACTAAGCAAGTCAGACAAAAGGATTTTCTTTTTCATCGGGCAGAGTGTTGCCTTAGGCTTTTCTGCCTCTGACATGTTTCCTGTGAAGTTCAGCATGGCTTAGATCAAAAGGCAAGCACAGCCCGTGATTATAATGACGGAAAGCCTCTGGCTTAGTGCGGAGATGAGCCTTCTGGAAATCTGCTTCAGATAATAACTCATCCGAATCTTCAGTTTGCAGATTTATGGAGGGGGGGCTTTTAAGCTCCAAATGTTCACAGCTCCTGTTTTTTTCTTCAAAGACAACCTAATATAATTTGGATGCACACTCTCTCTTTACACTGTAACCTGCATAGAACAAAAAAGGAGAGAGGCCCGGGAGTGTCAGGTCAGTCAAGCTGGCCACCTTCTGGCCCTCCCACCGGGCAGATCTACGGCTGCTCCAAGGCGAGGGCCACACTCAGAGGTGAGTGCTGCACCGAGGGAAGGCTGTTGTTGAGGGCTTGAAAACCTCCGCGGCTCTAGTTCAGGCACAGCGTGTGAGGGAGCCCCTGGCCCCGTGGGCCACCGCCTGGTTCCCACTGCCGAGGGAGCGGAGAGGCACCCCCGGAACAACGGAGGAGGAGCAGGCTATACATTAACTCATATACGTTTGCTTCGTTCACACAAGAGAGGATCTTGCGTTATGAAATCGTATCCATTTAATCAGGCAAATGAGCTGTTAGAATAAAAACGTTTGTGATTACAGCCCATGAACTGCTGCTGTCTTTTAGGTAATAATACAAGTTCATTTGCATCATTTGAAGTGGCAGGAGGAACCTGCAGGCTCTCACATGTGACCACAAAGCCACCGCTGCCCTCAGAGGTGGCCATCACCTACACACGAAGGCTGTAGCCCTTCCTAAGAGCGTGGGGCAGAACCCACAGAGGTGAGCAGGTGTTGGTACGCTTCGTGCTGCCCACTGCATTAAGAGCTATTTTTTTCCCCGGCGAAAGCACCCTCCCCAGCCCAAAAGCTGTGTGACCTTCACTAATCCCCAGTAAAACGCTCATTTCCCCTTTGCCACCATGCGCCGAGTCCTGCGAGAGGCTGGGCACGAAGCCTGCAGGCAGGGACCACCGGCTGCCTGCCTCCCTGCCTGCCTGCCGAACGCATCCAGGCTGGATGCCCCTCAGCAGCTGTGCAGCACAGCACCAGAAATGCAGTATTTTATTTCTAATTCACATCTGCAAAGAAGGTTACACAAGGGTGCGATGCACAAATTGGGTTTAGTTTTGCAGGGAAAAAAGCAGCAACACAACAATCTCTCGAGCTACAATACCCACATGCCCTGACATACACCACTGTTCCTAAAAGTAATTCCCCATCTTCCATGAAGTAAAAGAAAATGATACTTTTTTTCATGAGATTTCTCCTAAAACAGCTCAACGTGCTTTTCAGGGTTAAGTTTGCTAAAAAAGAAAAGAGTGGGGAGGGAACAATCCCAAAAAAGCTTGGCAGGCTAACAGCATTTCAGATTCTGATTTCATGCAGCAAAAGTAAAGGGAACTTCCTCAAGAAAATTGGACTGCATATTTTAAAAAAAAATTATCCTACAACCTTTTGCCTCAGCTAACATTATTCTGACACTAAAGTGTCTACCTAGGGACAGCTGTTTCCTCTTCGTGACTAAATACATGTATAAATTTATTCCATAGAACAAAACACAGGATTATTTCATTTGCCTTGCCTGATTTCTGTTTCTTCTTTTATCCCCCTCCCCTTTTTTTTTCTTTATTTGAGTAGCTGAAGGTCGAGGAGGTGCCTCTCCTAGCAATATTTACACTGCTGAGCATCTTTTCCCACTAAGAAAGGGCAAAAGCTCCCAGGAGTGTTTTCTTCATGGAGGAGGCAGCAGAGATGCTTACAGCTGTCAGAAGCCTACCTTGAGCTCTTTTCTTTAAAAAAAATCATAAATACAGCAAAAAATGTAATCAAATAATTGGCCAGCTCAGCTGTTCCACATTTGTTGTGCTGCGGAATAGTCTGGTTTTCCTCTGGTGAAGTGGGTTGGGGGGGGGGGGGTGGGTTGCATTGCAGCTTATTAATACGGCACGTGGCGTGGAATAGGAAATTCAGCCTGCTGTGCTCCTTTGGCGGGCCCACTGCTAGACAGGGCAGGGATCTGGTGACAAAGGACACCAAAAAGGCCAAGGTGCTCAATGCCAACACCTTCCTGGTCTTACTGGTGACACCAGCCTTCAGGAACCACAGGGCCCTGCGACCAGGGGGAAGCCTGGAGCAAGAAGACGTACCTGGGTGGAGGAGGACCAGGTCGGGGAATAAAAGTTCCACCTTTAATACAACGACCCCAAAACACTTCACCTAGGACTGCAGAATTTAGGTGTGTTTGTTTTCTGATGTATTAACCAAATGATGGAGTTAAGAAGCGATCTGATTTCATAACCTTTTATTCAACCTCCTAGCACAAGTTCCCTTGCAAGACTGAGGCTTCCTTTTTTCCAGAACATTGAAATATTTTCTGCATTATTACATGGTGAATTTGTAGACTGCTCAAAGGGTCCCTGAATCTTTCAAGACGCTTGGTACAAAAAGAAATTAAAATCTTACACTGCTTTTAAGTTCTTTAAGGCTTAAAATGTGATATTGCTCAGGCTGTGAACTACAAGCGGATTTAATTTCACAATGAAACCCTAATAAAAATTCTGCTTGGGGGCTTACCTTTAAATACAATTAGGCGTGAAATTGTCCTTCTCCAGTGCAGAGCCAGAGTTGCCGGCAGTAACGAGGCCCCGAGTCGAACCGCGGAGCTGAACGCGTACCCATCCGTACGCACTGCGTGTGCACTAACGCATACAGGGCCCTTCCCACCAGCAGTTGGTTTATACCCAGAAGCGTAATTAGTCTTACTTCTAGCCCTGATCATTATATTAGTGCCGTGAACAGCAACTGAAACATTATCTTATTGTCCAAATAAATACCTTTCTGGATCCTCCTAATCTCTTAATGCCAGCTGTGCCTTCTGGAGATGACTTGCCCATTTTAATGACACAAACTTGTTCCAAAGCATTTCAGATGTAAATGACTGCTCTCCCAAGACCACTGAATGCAAAAAAAATCCCATTCTTTTAAAATATTCTTTAAAAAAAAAACCAGAACCAGAGTACTCACGTTATTGCCATGGTATGCTACTCATATATTACTTTTTCATGCACTGTTTGTACCCGCTAAGGTTCCTCCACTCTTTTTCATTTTCATATGGAAATTTTACCTGCATCCACAATATGTTCTATCACCCATTCAACCTCCTTTTCCTACATTATTTTTTCATTACCTTGCCTGTCTCTGCACTTCAACGGTGCTTTTCCAGAGCCTTATTAGACTTATCGGCACAGGCCCCATCTTTCGTCTCGGCTCATTTGCTGGCCTCTGTTCGGAGGCGAGACGGCTGGTCCCTCGCTGAGCCAGCGCCTCTCCAGTGAGGCTGCGATTTCTGGGCCTCGTGAGCCTGCACATCTTTCCAGCCCTTTGTTGTCTTGTGCTGATCCCCGCCCAGCCTACGGACCTGGAGCAACCTGTGACGGCCTCCATCAGAGGCCAGTGCACCCTTATTCCTAGGTGTAAGTTTTTGCAGAAAGTATTCAGTGAAAAATCTCATTTGGAAGTCCCCATCTGAATGGAAAGTATCATTCTGAACAGAGGTAATAGATTTATTAAATTTAAAAGAACATAGAAGTTGATAGGTTCTTTAGAAACCCAATCATTACTGAGACAAGGTATTTCCCGTCAGCTTTCTGCAAACATTTTTCTGCTTATTCAGTAAGTGAAAAATAGGAAACTTTATCCTCAGGTAGTTGAGTGTCCTATACCCAGCTCTCACTAAGCTGAGAAACAAATATCTTCTCTTTAATCCTTCAGACCACAAAAAAACTCAGCAGTTAATATTAATGACCTTTTAGAAGCTTTTAAGGCAAGTTTGCACAAATACATAACTAAGACGTTTGCTTTGAGTCTTCAATAGTTTATGAAAATGTTGTGGCTGAATACATCTCCTGCAGTTTCCTTTGCTTTTCACTGTCGGCCAGTTTCTGCCCCATGGGAAGCCGCAGCACGATAACGGTGGCCAGGGTGGCCTCAGGTGGCCACCTCACTGCAAACTCCAGTCCACCGGGGATGGACAAACACCCCTGCAGGTAAAGCCTGTCACCCAGCCTGGCCCCCGATTTTCTCTCGTGGAGGAATCACCAACCGGTGCTCAAACTCCCGAGCACTTCAGTATCCAGGGCACGACTGTGGCCAGCACAAGATCCCTTGGAAGATGCTTGAGCGAGCTCAGCCCATGCAGTTGGTGGTGGTGGTCTTGTACTAAATGCCCCATCTTTGCGTCTTGCTGTGTTCCTGATGACGGGAATGAGTCGTCACACGGAGTCCGGAGGACAGTTGCGTGTTGGTTGGAAGAGTCCCGCCAGAAGTACGGCCTTCCAGAGCTGCATCAGTTTATGCACGGACAACTCTGCAGCAACACTGTCATGCAGAAATGGGAAGTAAATGCTGCAGAGTTTGTATTAATTATTCAGCAGCTTCTGTGCAATGAAAGACAAAGGCAAAACTGGCATAAAAGTAGAGAAGACCTCGGACACATTCCCTGCATGGACCAGGAAGGGCAAAGGCGGTAGCCCTCAAGCATCAGTAGCCTGTGCATCATGTCCGAGAGACCCAGCCAGCGCTCTTCGGCGCTTTGCAGGTGTGAATATCTACCACTTCTAGGCAGTCCTGGCAGCGCACAGCACAACACCAGTGGAATTTGCACTCGCATTTTGTCATTCTGCTGACGCGGGAGGTGTCGTAGCCTCTCCCGCAGCACATCACTTCACAGCTGTCCATGCCGCGGGAGGTTTGGTTACAAACCCGACCGGCTGTCCCGAGGGACCCTGCAAAGGAAACGCAGGAAAGGTCAGGAGGTGGATTTTAAGGAAGGACAGAAAGCATATGAAAATAGGTATAGGAGCCAATATTATTGCCATAATTTGCAATGTATTTGATCCTTCAACATCACATCACCTGGGATTCAATATCAAGCCAGAGAAATGCCTATAATAAGGCAAAATTGCTCTCAAATTCTAAAATTTATCCTGGAAATCAGCTTTGGAGATGAGAAGAAGTAAAATGGACGAAATACTTCAAGGTGCAGCCCCTCCTGCCCCCTGCGTCCAGTCCCCCAGAGCTGTATGAAATGGGGCGCCCAGGAGGAGCACCCCCGTGGTGCTCGGGAGCTCATGGGCTCTGCGGGGGAGCTCGGAGGGGGCAGGGGAGGGCTGGGAAAGAGGAGACCACTACATTTGGTGGCCGCAAGGGACATGCTGGGCAGAGTAACCATGCTGCTGGTGGTTTAAGTCTTTGCAGAAGTGAGCACAGAAGGACCCCAACCACTTGGCATCACCGCTGCGCCCTCCCACAACCCCCACATCCACCAGTTCAGGCGGCAGCTGAAGAGTGGCTGCTCTGTGCACCTCTCATCTCTGCAGGGTGAGCACCAAGGGTTCTTCTCCTCTTTCTTGAGAGAGATTAGGAGAAACTAAATTGCAGCCTGCTGTGGACAGAAGGACGGGTAGGGGAACATACCCCACCTCTTCATGTTCTTACAATCTCTCTGGAGTGGCTGGAACGCCTCTCCCCATCTCCACGTGGCACAAAATGGCTCTTTAAGGCATGTCTTAGCCCGAACCACATGGGAGCTGCTGCTCATCTAATACAAACTTATCGTAGGGTTCACTTCCAGACCTATACCACAGCTGTTGACAGATTACTATTGACCATCTGCAAACTTCATCAATACTCATGGCTTCATCTAATTTCTTATATATTGCTATTATAAATCAATTTCAGGTATATCCATGAGACGAACATTGTTCTGACATTTTCCCTAGACCTGACTATAGCTCCATTCCTCTGTTCTTGGCCAAAATGGGATTCCCTAAATATCGACCACAGTCATTAAACTCAGTGGAAACATTTTACAAAGTGTATTCACAGGTGTACATCAAACATGAACAATTTACATTCTTGAAGAAAAAAAATACGTGCAGACATTAATTCAAATTTGCATGAGCTAGGATAGCAAACCAATCTTAATTAATAAAACTTAAGCTCTAATTAATCTGTAATTATTCAAAATCTAAGCTGCACAAATTCTAATTTTCTTTTTTTTTCCCCTGTGGTGTATTTATGGTTGTATATACCATTGCAGCCAGCGACTGCAGCGCTTCACAACATACAAGTATTCATTGTTCCTCCATCCTCTGCCGTCCCCAGCACCGGGGAGATTTCGTGTCTCGTCAGGCCTGGGCCCAGGCACTGGGGCAACAAGTGGTCTCAGGCACTTGAGTAAAGTCACCTTTCTCAGACTGTGGTTTTTCAAGGGACCGATATGGGATTTAGCTGCTTAGCCACGGTGAGGGATGTTTTGCTCTTTTTGCATCTAAGTCAGGACACGCTTCAACTGCTGCCCTGGAGGAGTGTTTCAGTCCCTAGAAGGCATCTCAGCCTTCTCTTCCATAACCTATATTCCTGCATTTATTTAAATATTTAAATATTCACTGGGTAGAAATATACACCTGGAAAGCTTCAATATCAAATCGCTGGCCCAGGTCTGCTGCGGGCAGAGCAGAAGAAGGGTGTTGCATGACCACCTGCACTCCAGGCTCAGCGGGTGCCCATGGCCGCCCCGGCCACCTGCCCTGGGAGCTGCTCGTCAGCTGCTGCCGATGGTGGAGACACAAGCCCCAGCTCAGGGGTCCTGAGCCACAAAGGCGCTGTGGCACCGGCCAAGTGGAGACCTGCTGAGCCACCCAAAAGGGAAAAGGCAGAGTCAGGAGAAGACACGCTGAACAGAGCCAGAGATGGGCTCCTGCAGCCTGATAAATCCCAGAGCTCCTCGGGGTCCAAGCCCGCTCGCGCTGCTGCCCATGGACCAGTGCTCTGTGTAGCATCCTTGGGGAGGCAGCTGAACAGCACTTCCAAGTAAGTCTCTGCTATTTGGGGGAGCACCTCGCGTTGATGTAAAAACCAGTGACGTGTTGCATGGGGCACGCCCTGCACCAGGGAACCAGCAGCAACTCCCGGTCTCCTGTCCCCGCAGCCAGCGACGGCACCCGAGTCCCAGTGCAGGGGGTCCCGGGGAGGAGGAGGAGAGGTACCACCAGCAACGATCCATGCAGGCGCACACCACCCCTAGCAAGCCCTCTGCCATGCAGCTCTCCCTGCAAGGCCAGCTGCACTGGGGCAACCTGCACGACAGGCAAAGCAGTGATGCCAAAAGGCCTTTCCCAGATCCTTTTTCCAGGAATTGCTCCACAATGGGGGAGACAGAATTACAATGGCCGCCGCTGCCCCCAGTCTAGGCAGGGCCGAGGAGTCAGGAGGATGCAGAGCTTCGTGATCCACCTGTGGTCCCTGTGGCAGAAAACAAACCAAACCCTGCTTCCCAGCTACCACACTCTCCTCCATCCGTGACCCTGTGCAAACAGCTGGGACATCTGAATGTAAGTGCTGGTGCTTGTGTCAGTCCACAGCAATATCCATCGCATCCCAGACTGTGCAAAATACAACTGAATAACCACTTTTATAGGCACTTGTCCTGCCCTCTCTGCTCAGACAAAAAAAAGGTATAAAGGCCAAGCTTGTGACTCGTATCATTAATGTTCTGCGTCAGGAATTTGGTGTGAATTCTTGCTTACCTCCCTGCACCGGCCTCCCCTCACCTCCCTTGCTCTGTGTGCTGCTTTACCCTGCTGACAAAGCCCAGCCCCAAAGTCCCGGAGTGCCTGGGCTGTGTAACGCAGCATGTCTGGGACAACGTAATCTCCAACAACCGTGATTTGGGTTAGATTTCAAACCACTCGGTGCTTTGCTCTGCATGTGGTTTGTGTGAAACGAGCTGGACACTCGATAGCCTTTGCTGTGCCACCATCGCACAGACACTCCATAGCCTTTGCTGTGCCATCATCACACGGCAGCCGGCCAGGTGTCCCTCCTCCAGTGGAGGCAAAGCAGAGCCGCTCTCCGCCTCAGCAGAGCGGAGCCGAGACCGGGAGCAGAGCGGGGCCGTGCCGCCCGGCTGCTGGGCTGGAAGGGCCCCGCGTCGCCCTCTGCGTGAGGCCCGGCACGGGGCATCAGGCCCGGCTGTGATGAGGTGCAGGAGCTGCCCTGGGAAGGTCTGACCGCATTCCTCAGCCGAGGCACAGGTTAGTTTCCAACTCCAAGGTTCTCATTTCCAGATGTTTGGGGAAAGCGCACAGCAGCAAAGGAGAACCTGAGCGGAATATGCCTGCTGGTTTCAATGGGAGCTTTGCCGCTGATTTCAAAGCCAAAATGATTTCAGCCCCTAACAGATAGTCAGAACCCGGTATCATCTGATATTGCCCACAATACAACATCAACATTTACTACGCCACTAGGAGAGGAGACTAAATTATCCACAGAACGTGACAAAAGGGAAAACAGGCTCACATAAAGGCTTAGTTCCTGAGCAAAACCAACATTTTTTGAAAAGTTCAAACAGCATCTTCAGCATCTCTGCAGCTTCTCTCATGAGAAAGAAAACGAGCAATAACTGAGAGCGGGCAGCCAGGCAAGTTACCGCGCTCCTGGGGGCACTCACGTACCCAGGTGATGAAGACAACAGAAGACACCAAACAAAACACGGCAGAGTTTTCTGAGCTTTGCCTGCTACCTGTAATGCACCTCCTCATCACTTAAGAGGCAGGAGTATGTTCTAACTTGTAAAAGGTTTTCGTGCAACCTCTTTGTTTTTATTTCAAGTGTTGGAATTGCCATGCCGACACATAACATTATACCTGCCAAAACATCCGCAGCTTTTAATACTGCCAACTTCACGGCCCATACATCAACCCCTTTCTTCTTGGTTTGCACAGTTGTTTTCTTAAGCAAACATATGGTAAGTTGAAAAATATTTTTTCCCATTCCTAAAGCACTAAAATGTATTTATTCCTTTATAACGTGAGATTTTTCCTTCTATTTCTATTAATTAAAAATCCAGCTTCAAGCAACAAAGTTCATTACTTGACTTTCACCTAAAAAAAAAAAAAAAAAGGCAGCGAAACCCCTAACAACAATAAACTAGTTTCCACAGGAGCGTTTGGAAAAAAAAAAAAAGGAAATATTCACAGAAAAGTAGCTGTGAAGCTACTTTTCAAACCAAGAAACATCCACATGTGTCATGTACACCACCTCAGTACATCAGGGCTGGAGAGGACAAGCCGCGCACGGCGGAGGCAGCCTTGTCCAGAGGGGCTGCGATTTCCCAGGCCAGCAACGAAAAGACAGCAAGATGCTGATAAAAACAGCTTATCCAGATTCAGTTTAGAGCAAACGTGTCTCGCGCTAATTTCCATAGCCACTGATAGCTGTCATAACCTCTCAGCAACCAGGGGCTCCTGGGGGGATTGTGCTGCTCCCTTGCTGGACGGTGCTTGGAGGAGACCTGCCCTGATGGAAGTCATCGCAAGCTTCACCGTCAGCTTGCATGGGGCTGGGACTGCGCCCAACATGTTTGCAATGCGTAAATTGGGAGATACGGGCCAAGAAGTCGCACAGGGACTGCCTGCATGCAGCTAACCTCAGTGAGAAGTTTTTGACATAGATCAGGATTGGTTTCCCTCCATGGGTTACATACCTCAAGTACTAACACATCTTGCCCAACACCAATACTTTGCAGGCTACACTTTAATTTCACATTTTTCTTTCACTCCGGACTTGGCTTCGTTCATCTCAAAACTTCAGCAAATGGCTTACGTGGGGCAGCAGGGGAAATAAATGAACATGAAAATACTCCTGTGAAGGACCCAAAGCAGGGCACCCTGTCCATGTGGTTTGTCACCCAATGCGCAGCTCCCGGGGGCTGCCCCTACCACTGCACACGCATCCCCACAGCGCTTTCGACCAGGAGACCAGGTGCAGAGGGTCCTCAGACCCAGCTGCAGCACCCTGCCTGCCTGTTGGGGACACAGGAGATGGCCACCGCAATCCAGGTACGCAACCCACACCTTAGGCGCAGGCAGCGGCAGCGATGCTGGCTTTGACAGCACCCAAACCGAGACCATGTGAGTGTTGGGAGAAACCTACGGATGACTTGAAGCACACGGCACATGGGTTTTTAGCAGATCCTGAGGGACTGCTGCAGCAGCTCAAGACCATCTACATGTAGACACGACCTGCCTCTGCTCCACCACCACCTCCACACGGCCGAAGCCTCGTTGCTACCAGAACAGTTGTGAACAGTCAACACGCGCTCACCAATGCCATCCTGTCACTCGCCCACCGCCTCCACCTTGGTGTCCACGCTTGGGGACGCAACCTCCTCGCTCATAAGCACCACCTCAACGTGCGTAGCTGAGCTCAGCTTGCTCTACACGCTTTGGTGGGGGTCTCCCTGCAGGAAGAGGCTTCACTCAAACACTGCCTACGTTTTTTGGTTGCTCTGTACAAATTAATTTTTAATAAACCTGTTCTAAAATGTTTTCTTTTCCAGGAAGACATTACATTGCTTTAATAGTCTCTATGAACAAGAGGCTGTAACGAAAGCTCGGCCAGCAAACTGGTGGTGCCCACGCTGCGGCCGCTCATATCTTTATTCCTAAAGCAGTCTCTGCTTGTCCACTGGTACGTTCAAAACATGATAAACTTGCAACAGCTTTCAATCAACCTAGCCTGCATGGGTGGTCAAATAGTAATATTTCAAAACTTAAAATGCTTCTAACAGAAGCTTATAAGAAGACAAGCAAGAGTTTTTTTAGAGCATTTCAGAGGTGATGTTACACATTCAGGGTAAGAGAGTACGTGCTACAGAGGCACTGCCGCTTGCATAGCCATCGCTTTAGTTCCCTCCACAGCTCTATCATTTCTAACAGGTCTCTCCCTCTGTAGTCCTGGGTATGCTTGCATTGGTTTTGGGAGCTGGAAATTTATGATAATACAAGGGAAGACCATGCAAAGCGTGACAAAATTTGTACGTTCATGACAAGATTTTCAAAAGCCCTCTGGGATGTCCTACCTCTGTTTCTATCCAATTATGAGTACAAAATTGTAAGTAAAAATTATTTCAGCATCCATGTGAGCAGAGTTAAGTGAATTCTGAACACTTCTTAAAATCTTCCTTTGGTCTTTTTCTTAAAGTCATGGATCTTAATGCTAGACAAGAGGTGGCCGGGTTATTACATTCTCTTGCTATTCAGCTGCTATTAGTGTTTTCCACATATTATCTCACTCCCAAAAGCAATGACTCCTCTTTTCCTTCTAGGAAAAAAAATAATAACAACAACACATTTTTCACTTTGTAGGGGTGATTCATGTATGCATGTACAATAATCTCATTTCATTTCCAGTCATTTAACAGGGCTGCCACTCTGGAGTGCTCAACAGGGCAAACCAAAGGTAATAAAGAAAAAATGCTGCTCAGCTGCTGAAATCGCCTCTCTCAAAGCCAGATCAATTCTTGTTCGTCTGATTCTTTCTTTGCTCCACGAGAGCAGCATCCCTCATCCCGCTAAAGGTTTACTGCAGCTTGCCAAAAATGTGCTCTTCCAAACAGCCGCATTCTCTGAATTCTGGGCAGCAAAGAAACACCGCCTCGCCCCCAGCCTTATCTTGAGCTGAGCCAAAGCACGTGTCAGACTCTGCCGTCTCTGGGCAGGCTTGACAGCATCAGGCAAAGGGCGCGTAATACACTGCGGTGGAAAATGCCCACTCTCCTCAATAACAAGACTGACAGATGAGATTAGGCTTAGTGCAAAGAGCTTATTAAATGGCTTTTTGACATAGAACTGGGTCGTGTATGGGGTCTCCTTTTTGGGGGAAAGAAATCACGGGTTTTACAATGAATGAGGCAACTTCAAGAAATTAAGTTTTGAATAAATCCTAGTCTGCAAAGTTAGCCTCTGCACAATGCCACAATATGCCCATTTATTCACTTGGATTACAGTATTAGACTTTACAGTATCTGTCACTATTCAAGGAACAATATGTGTTTGTGCAGGTAACAAGCATCACCTGCAAAAGCCATAAATGACATTTAAAATTACCTTGACTACTCAACTAACCAGAAACACTGTACAACATAAGCGTACTCGATGAAATTCTGGGTTCACTGAAGTCAATAGTACATGACCAGGATTTCACATATTGTTCTTATTTAAGTACCGTTGTTTTGCAATGCTTGTTCCAAGTAAACTTGGATTGTAAATATGCAGCAGTGCCAAAAAGAGCTGAGCTGCATTGCTATCCAGATACTTACGGATATGTCATACTGGGTGCAATCTGGTACGTTATACAACCTATTAATTAGTTTCACAACATCTTTCATACATTACTCAGTCTGGCTCTCTTTTCCAAAGCTCTGGTTTTCTAGTTGCTAGTTTTTAATTGCCACATCAGGAAATACTATACACGGGTCAAGAACCATTAGCAGGATTTGTGGTGCTTGGCAATGCCTTGAATCCTGTAACACCGTTAAGTGTCTCTCTATCAAAATCTCTGACAGCAGAGAAATTCAGTGTTAATAGCAGCCCTGAAACTTTACCCCTTCCCACTGGGGCTGGCACAACTCTTCAAAAAATGTGATGGTTATCATGGACAGAGCCAACACTGTCTTGTTGAGAGGAGTAAAGAGTGGTGTCACTCGATGCAGTGTGCTGTGCCCCACCGACCTCTATTCTTTTATCCACCTGCACGTCCTCCAGCTGCCTTGCACCACGTTACCGACAGCTGCATTGACCGGTGCAAGCAGGGTTTGCACCAAGCTGCAGTACCTCCTACATTGCCGATGGGGAGGGATGTGTCCACACCTAGGGGGTCCGTGCTCCACAGTGAGCTGCAGGGAATGTGCAGATAAAGGAGGATACTGGTCTCTTGGCAGTCTGCAGCAGCAACATAACGATATGGAAGAGAAGCAATGCAACAGGAGGTGGTATCATAGGGACATCACGGGGCTTGGGGCTGCTGTAGTTACATCTGGCAGCTCTGGAGTGAGCTGTGTGATACAAGCGTGTATGTGGCTGTGTATGGTATGGACCTGCCTCCAGAGCATAACTCAAACTTGTCCTAAAAGCAGCTTTTGCCTTGCAATGTCTCCAGGGCTCCATAGCATCTGGAAGAAACTGCTGAATTATATTAGGACAACTGGCTGTCGTACATCTAGGGCCATCAAGGAGCTGTTGCCCTTGTACAGAGCTGTCCTTCCAAAACATCGTCCTGCCTGTTTCCTGCTGGTTACATGCATGGATTTATATATATGTATATATACACACACTCAATAATAATGATAATTTTTTACCTTCAAAGTATCAAATGTCTGAAATAAAACCATTCATGTGTAACAATAGAGGCTTACCTACATCCCTGTCCCTGATACAGTAGTCTGGAGAGCTTTCAAAGTATACCAGGTCATTCTTAGTTGGCTTCTTAAATCTCTTATTAGCCACAGTGAAACCCGTGCCATCTTGATTCATGACCACCTGAATCGCTCCATTGTATTTCTTCCACAGGTAATCTCCTGTTTTCCTAAAGTCTGCCATGGCCAGCCAACAGGTCCTTAGAGTGCATGATCCACTCACACCGTGACATTTGCACTCCTGTTTCAAAAACCGCTTCACAGCCTGTTCAGAAACGCAGTAAAACACACACAGGTAAAACAAACGGTAATTTGTGCTTCTCAGCCCTTTTCCAGTCATCCTGTAATGCCAGGCTTGCAATGGGTCTCCAAACCACGGTCTGTAGTGACACCCACTGGTAGCATCAAGTCATCCCCACATGGTTGGTCTGCTCTGGTTGCTTGGCTCAACCGTACAGGCAATCCTCCGGCTGGTGAGCTTACCTTCCCCGCTCCCACCAGTCTTCCCAAGGATCGGGATGGGCCGTAAGGCTAGGGGACAGACTGGGCAGGAGGAAACGATCTGGGAAATGGACAGAACCACTCAGGCCCTTGGTAGGCGAAGGTACCCCCTTTCCCCATCCTTCCAGCTGCAGCATGGCCATGCTGACCTTCTCTAGCAAAGGAAGTTGCCCTTTGCCCTGAATAGTGTTTCAAATATTGCCCAGAAATTCATAGGCATTTCATATTTAAATAATTTTACAGAGACTGTGCAAAGCATCGTACCTGGGCTAGGCATCAGATCTATTCAAAATTTTTGATTACGGTATTTTTTAAATGCTTATGGACCTTTTAACAAACATTTTAGAATAAGACCTTCGTTAGCTTGCACTAGAGAGATCACCTTCATCATTAATTTAATGCCTGGATAGCACTAAAGCCATTTCAGCTTCATCTCAGACATTTAAGCTATCTGTATGATGTTGGAGAACAACAGATGGGTTCGTATACAATAAATAATTCATTCCTAATTCTGAAGATATGGATATTTGATCTATACATATTATGCCTTAAGGGTTCATGAAATATGAACATTTTAGAGTTTGTACAAGAGGAACAGCATCACGGGAGGAAGGTAAGAGAGAGGAAAGCTCCAGGATTAGAAGTGAGACTGACGCACAGTGGGGCGGCATTTTTCAGCCAAGCGCTTAGTAATAAAGTGAAAATGTTTTATAAAACCAAAGTACTTCTAATTTTCTTTCCAACTCGTAAAGCAATATGACTGCTTCAAAGAAGTCACTGACACTCCCACAGCCCCACTTCATTGCCAATGGTACTATCACAAAACCAGGAGTTTAAGCAGATGCTTGGTTTTAATTATCTGAGTAGAAATCAGTTTAACTACTTGTACATTTAAAACAACTTGCTGGAATAGCGGAAGAAGCATATAGGAATGCAGGACTTTTTCTTTGTCAGTGGTATTCCTATACTAGTAGACGGCATATTATTTTATATAATTCATATGGGAATATTATAAATATTTATGCTATGTATTTTTGACTTAGTAAAATCTGAATAGTCTAATTTTAAAAGAAACCTATCAACACCCCTTTTGGGGGTGAGAAAAAGCCGAGGGCACAGCTGGCCTTACCCAGATCCTAATGCCAGGCTTGTGGGTGGGCTGAGGTAGCGAGATCCCTGCAAAGCTAAACCTACACTATTGCGCTGTGGATACAGAACAGCATCCCTTTCTGTAAAGCAGGTCCTAGAGCATATGAGAATGTGTTGATTATTTTTAATCTAATATATTTATTAAAGTCTCTCGATCGTTTTCTAAAAAAACTTACCTGCTTACCAATACTGTCTTATTATTTGGCATATGTATTTTTTTAAACTTACCAAGATACTCAGCTCTTTCAGAAAGTACTTCCCAGCAGGGAGCTAATTCACCCCTATAAAGCCTTTGCTTGTGTTGTAGACTGCAGTCTCTTTTGGGCAGTAACATAAATACAGCCATAGTATTTGCTTAGGGACATGGTTTGTGGTGGACTTGGCAGTGCTAGGTTAATGGTTGGACTTGATGATCTTAAAGGTCAACCTAAACGATTCTATGATTCTATTGCATACGCATATCACTGATCTGAACAGCCTCATCCATCTATATTACATATGAATTACACCTGCTGGTAATAAACAGGTGGAGGAAGGATGTTGAAGGAGAAACATTTATCAGAAAAATCATCTACTTGCAGTGCAATTCATTAAAATTGGATCTTTTCTTCTAATAAGGGCCAGCTAATATGGAACAACTTTACAGTTTATAAAGGGAACTTTTTAATACAAAAAGATCAGAATATGAACAATTTACTTCCTACTGAATATATGTTAAGGAAAACCAAAGATAAGAAACAAGAGGTCTCTATGAATCATTTTAGAAGGGCTTGGTCTAGCACTATAAAATATTTGTCTCTATTATTTCAGATGTCATAGATGCAGCAAATTTTGGATATGTTTTGAATAATGCAACAGCGTATTCCAGTTTCATGCACTAGTCTTACGATTTATAGCTACCACCACAAAATGTTAGTGCATGTATTCCTCAGCCCTTGCACCAGCAGTGGGCAATACACCTAGCAACTACTCCTTCTACTCACCCACAATAAGAAACTAAGGACTCTTCCTGTTGAAATTCAAGAAGGGTATGTTCATGCAGTGTTTAGAAAAGGGTTTTGTTTAGAGCAGGTCATGCGCCAAGGCCAACGCCTTTTGAAGGGACATGTATTTTGGATTTGTTTTCTTAAAAAGTGAAGTAATTGTATTTTATCTCTGCGCATTTTGTGTTTAGGTTTACTGTATGCATACAGGAATGGACGGGATGGTTTTTTTCTCCAATGCTATTTTGAATTTGCTCTTTAATAGTCAAGCCTGTTCTTCAGTGTGGTCTTCAGCCTCCCTTAGGAATTTCTATTCTTTATTAACCAAAAGTAAAACTCCTCCAAATATAAAGATTAGGCTCAAAACAAATCCTCCATCCAAACTGATCCTTCAGTGACTTGGGCACAGGCTTAACTTCCCCCACAAGGAGCCACAGAACTGACTCAGACGGGAGCACTGTTAAGCAGTTGCGCTCAGCCTGTTTGGAGCTCTCTGCCACACTAAACCTCCAAGGGAGACAGAAACAGCATCTCAGGCTCCCACTCATCCCATACTTCTTCCTAACTGCTGAGACCAGTCAGCAAGGGCCAACCGTTACCTGCCCCAGACGCGTGAGAGCTCACCGAGAGCATCTCCAGGCATCTGTTGGATGGACACCCACCTTCCTTCCAGCTCTGTTGTTGTGGAGGTTCATCAACGCTCTTGCATCTTTTCCTTTCCGTTCTTTGGCATCCACAAAGGCTCTGGCAAATTTAATGCCGTAGTCGATGTTATCGCTGCAGCCACCCCAGTCAAAATGGCCCTTGCTGTCCTTGGCAGAGCCTTTCTTCTTGGGATCGCAGGAGCAGGATTTCAGCTCCCCTTGGCTACATGCCCTGGTGATGGCAAAAACAACTCCAGCAGAGGAGATGGCATGTACAAAAGCAGATTCCCGACTACCTGAAACAAAAAAAGTCGCTTTAAAAATCATTGGGGTAGTTAGTTTGAGTGGCTATCCTAACTGCAGCCATTTAGCCTGGACTTTTTTTGCTGAGCAAAAGATAAAACTGGGCTGAAATCACACATTCCCTGGAGCCAGAATTAGTCATGGCTTAGACTTGGACCCCTCCCTGGTAAAAGCTCATCAATATAGTGTTAGAGTTGGACAACATTAAACGTGTGCTTCTGATATTGATTAATATACTTTCACGGATCAGTTGTTTTGTACAGATCTATGAATAGGACAGCTGGTATTTCTGTCGTGTTTCATCGATTTAGGAAAATAGATGAAGTGCTATCTCAGAGATAGGTTTAAGAAATTATTAAATAGGGACACTGGAACAACATGCACATTGCAAAACACTGCAAATAGCTCCAGAAACTAGCTTTTTCTCTTCTGAAGCAGTCGGAACAAACTTCCCTGCTGAAAAGGCGGCAGGCAGAAATCTTGGGTGTTATTTTCTGAAAATAAGTTAAATTTAGGTTTTCTGCCTAGAACCAAGCCCGGTAACCGTAATTCACACAAACAAGTTCCGTTGAATCAATGGCACTGCTTGTGTCATGCTTGAGGCAGGATTTGGCCTGGCAGCTGTGACTTCCGCACGCCAGCTGTGCAGGCGGCTTCCCCTTCTCTTAAGGAAGATACTCTATTACACCAAAGATTATCTGCATTTCTAGACTATGCCTACTCTTAAGCTATTGGGTATGTATTTCAATGCAGTAATTGCTTAGGTTTATTTTAAGAGGTAGTAATTTACAATACAGAACTGTCATATATTGGCACAACTCTATTTGTGACAATGAGGTATATAAATATTTCTAAATATTCTAAACAGGCTGTGAAGCAGTTTTTGAAACAGGAGTGCAAATGTCACGGTGAGGGTGAGGCAGTGAGGCTGCACCTCCAATACTGTGTTCAGTTTTGGGCCCCTCACTACAAGAAGGACATCGAGGTGCTGGAGCGTGTCCAGAGGAGGGCAGCGAAGCTGGTGAAGGGTCTGGAGCACAAGTCTTAGGAAGAGCAGCTGAGGGAGCTGGGGTTGCTTAGTCTGGAGAAGAGGAGGCTGAGGGGAGACCTTATCGCTCTCTACAACTACCTGAAAGGAGGTTGTTAGCGAGGTGGGGGTCGGTCTCTTCTCCCAAGTAACAAGGGATAGGACGAGAGGAAACGGCCTCAAGCTGCGCCAGGGGAAGTTTAGGTTGGATATTAGGAAAAACTTCGTCACCGAAAGGGTGCAGTCAGGCACTGGAAGAGGCTGCCCAGGGAAGTGGTTGAGTCCCCATCC